TATATAGTAATAACATTTCACAGTATTACTGTTTTTACTGTATTTTTGATCAAATATTTCATGTCTCATTATACCAAACTATAAAAGAGAACTATTTCAGTAAATGAATAAAAATAATACAGGGAGTTTACTGTGTTGACCATTACAGTAACTAAGACACTAATTATAGTGATGACAGCAGTATGGGTGAGCTGCCCCTGCTTGTATTATATGCACATGTGATCATCCAACCACCTGTTGATTCCCTCCATATCAGACAGAAGGTCAAATCTGACTTTGGTAATATGAGCTATTCTAAATGAACAAGTCCTGTTGGTAGAATCAGTGAGACTGTAATTTAAATGTGTTTGAGGGCAGTGGCACGATTTATCGGGGGAAGTTCTTCTGTGCGGGGAGTCATATGGCTCCCTTTATTTAGCACACTAGGATAAACATGTGCTAGTCAAGTAAGGGCAGAGGAAGATCTCCCAAACACACTCCTGCCCCTGCACATGTGGTAGACATGTGTTGTCATTTGTCTCCGCAGCTGTTGGGACAACACCTCATATCTAAACCCCCCGTGCCAGTGAGTGTTTGGGACATTTAGGGGACACAAGCAGCATTTTGTCAGCCGACGTATTTCAAACAAGTAGTTGTAATGGATTCTCAGCTGTCGAAACAGATCCAGTGTTCGGTGTGTTTGGGGGACTTCACAGATCCGGTGAGCCTGCTGTGCGACCACACGTTCTGCCGACAGTGTATCAGCAATCATTCCCAAAGCTGCCGCCTGAAATTGTGTCCGGAATGCAGACGGCCCTATACCATGTGGGACCTCCGGTCCAACCGAGTCCTGCGGAATATGGTGACTGCCGTGAGGGAACACTTGAGCGAGCAGCAGGCCCTCAGGGACATGGATGTAGCGGCTTGTGGAGCAGGCGCGAGAGTGTTTGAGGAACCAGAGAAGCTGGTGTGTTCAGATCATCAGGAGAGACTCAAGCTGTTTTGTGAGACGGATCAGAAACTGGTGTGTCTGATCTGTAGGGACGGTGAGAATCATCAGGGACACACGTTCAAACCTGTGGAGGAGGCAGCAGAGCCCCGAAAGGTCAGTGAGGACTGAAACGTCACAAACTGTAGATACCTTTATAAGCCTTATGTTTGAGTTTGACACTGCTCAAATTTCAGGTCATATCCAGGTCAGAAATACGAAAGCCCAGAAGTTCAGTTGGTTTCTATTTTGAATGTATCTAATTCCACATACTGACTGAGGTTCTGTTTGGGGTCATTTTACTGTAATTTCTGCTCAACATTGAAGCATCATGTTACTTCTTCATGACTTTTAAAATCTTAAGGCTGGAACAGGCTACACAACTTGTTGCAGATGAATTTGCAGTCTGTATGAGTCGACAATAGTTGCTGAAAGTCAGAGCCACTGTACAGATTTGAGATGAATGATTTCACCGAAAATCACTTAGTGTGTGATGGGCACTGACTGACTGTAATTCCGTCCGGTCAGAGGATATCATACATGATTGATATTTTTAGCTGATTTTAAACACATTTTGTTTTCATTTGTCAAGCATCTAACAACAAGGCACATGATTCTGCATGTTTCTATGTGAGTTTATGTTCGGACTTGAAAAGTGTGTTGTTCCACATTCGATTAGTGTATGATACCCAGTTTTTCATCTTAAACCCTTTACAAAGTTGACAAGTAGGATACCTAGGGGTTTTAAAATCTGTATAAATAGTGCTCAGTCGAAGTCTGACATGAAGTGTATTCCAGCCTTAATTAGAAGAACTGGTCAGAAATTAAAGATTCTTCAAATATAACGTTACTTATGACAAGTTACATTGTTTATGTCAAACTTTAAATAATGCAATGAATTTTCGCTTCAGATATACATTCCTGCCAGTTGTCTATCTTCATTGCCATTTTTATGTAAATAAATTTGACTAAAGATAAGATATTGACTAAAGCATTGGGTCTCTAGGATTTCAAGGATAAAAACAGTTAAAGGGGTCATATGATGCGATTTCAATTTTTCCTTTCTCTTTGGAGTGTTACAAGCTCTTGGTGCATAAAGAAGATCTGTAAAGTTGCAAAGACTAAAGTCTCAAATCCAAAGAGATATTCTTTATAAAAGTTAAGAGTCAACCACACCTACCTAAGACAGCTCGTTCTAACACGCCCCCACATACCTACGTCACTATCTTGGAAGATTTGCATAACGCCGCCCAAATGTTCACGCAAAGAAAGAAGGCGTAACTTTTATTCTCGCTTTAGTATTGTTGCTGCCGCCATGTCGTGAAGGCACTGTGTGTTTCGTTGTGAAAGCGAAACTACTTTGGGGCTCGTTGTTTGTCATTTCTCCGATCACAAATGCAGACATGGTTTTATGTTTACTCAGCGCAATGCAACGCAATGCGTAAAAAGACAGTATAAGTCATTATAATCCATAATTATGTCCCCACTGGATGCAATGAATGCCTCGTTTATAATGGGTTTTAATGTTTTTGAATCATCGCTCCGGCCTGACAGGGCATCATCACAATATGGTGAGGGGCGTAACATTTCCGTCACACGCTTGAGGTATACGGCCAATCGTAACGCACTGGATAGCTGGCCAATCACAGCACACCTTGCTTTTCATAACTATGAGCTTTGTAAAAATCGACGCGTTTCAGAAAGGCGGGTCATAGAGGAGAAACAATGATGTACAGTATGTGGAAAATAATGTGTTTTTTGAACCTTAAACCGCATAAACACATTTCATTATACCAAATACACAAAATAATGTTCTTTTTAGCAACATCATATGACCCCTTTAAGTCCTCCTCAACGGAACCTGAGGAACAAACATAAATAAAAAACAGAACAGAAACCTGTATGAGTTTCTTTCCTCTGCTGAACATAGAAGATATTTTCAAGAATGTTGGTAACCAAACAGTTGCTGGTCCCCTTTGACTTCCATAGTAAAAATAAATGCAATAATAATAAAAAAAATACAACCAAAACTGCTGGTTTTGTTACCAGCATTCTTCATGACAGAAGAAAGAAACTCAGGTTTGGAACAACTTGAGGATGAGTAAATGATGACAGAATTTTCTGTTTTGGGTGAACTATCCCTTTAATCACTATGTATGTTGAAATATTATTGCCCAACATATCAAAATGCATAATTGTACATTTAATACTTAAAGTCAGAAGTGCTCTATCCTGCTCCTCTGCAGGAAGCTGTAGATCTCTAGGAGCAGAACTGAGCAGCGCTGCTTTAAGCTAACGCATGCAATATTCATGTCAGATGCCCACAAGTCTGTCTTGTGTGTTGTAGAATTTATTATTAGAGCCTCTGAGCTTCCTGTCGAAGGAGAATGAAGAGCTGCAGGCTCTTATCAAGAAACAGACGAATGAGATCTCTAAAACTGAGGTGAAAAATACACTTCACACAAAAGAGGAAAACAGATCACACAATCCATCTAAAGACTCCATAAAGGACTATCACAGGGTTCATCACTATCTGTGATATGTTTTGTTTCTCAGGAAAGGTCTCGGCAGCTCTCTGCTCAGATCTCTGCTCAGTTTGAGGAGATGCACCAGTTTCTGAGGAAAAAGGAGGAAGAAGTGAAGAAAATGCTGGAGAAAGAAGAGAAGGATATAATAGAAAAGATGAAAAGAAACAGAGCAGAAACAGAAGAGAAACTGAATGACGGAAGAGAGAAGGAAGGGATTCTACGCTCAGTCTTTGAGACTGATCAGCCAGATGGGTTTCTGCAGGTTCAAATGAACATTTGCATTCAGCACAGTTTGTCCAATTAACTGAGTCTATCATATAGATATAATTGCAGTAGGCTACAATGAGGTCAAATCCCCCAAAAGGAAAAATGTGTTTTTCCCTGATATCAAAATATTTTTATTTTGTTATTTAAAAAAATTAATAAATTAAAAATTAAGAAGAAGTGAAGAAGTGACATGTGGCCAAGTATGGTGACCCATACTTGGAATTAGTGCTCTGCATTTAACCCATCCAAAGTGCACAGTGAACACACACACACCCGGAGCAGTGGGCAGCCATTTTTTGCTGCAGCACCCAGGGAGCAGTTGGGGGTTCAGTGCCTTGCTCAAGGGCACCTCAGTCGTGGTATTGAAGGCGGGAGAGAGCGCTGTACATTCACTCCCCCCACCTACAATCCCTGCTGGTACGCGACTCGAACCCGCAACCTTTGGGTTACGAGTCCAACTCTCTAACCATTAGGCCACAACTTCCCCTAGTCAAAATTGATGAAGAAACATAATTAAATTAATTATACTTCTTTCTAAGAAATGGTGAAATGTTAACATGGGGACTTTTTACCCTGAATATAGTCCTTTCACTAGAATAAGAATCTTTAATTACCATGAACAAAACAAGACATTTGTTTCCAAAAAATGAAATGCATGCATATTAGTTACATATATCTGCAAAATTTAAATAGCATTATAAAACTGTATTATTATTTAGAAGAAAAAAAAAGTAAATTAATAAAAAATATATATATATATATTTAAAATCCCCAGCATATGGAACATTTAAAATATGAAATATTGGATATTAAAAAATATATTATGTATTCAATCCAATTCAATCTTTAGTCATTGCATGCAGTAACCTCAACACAGTAAGAAAAAAAATGTGAAAAAATGTATCTTTAGGGGTACAACAACTTGCCACTGCAAGTACCCTTAAAGGGGCACCTTTGTACCTTAATTTGTACTCTTAAAGGTGTATATTAGTATCTTCAAAGAATAGTTACTACTATGAACATTGAATATTGAGAGTGAAAAAGCAGTTTTAAGAATGTGATTTTTTGAGAGTAGGAAAAAAAAGTACATAATTGTTGCATATAAATCTAACACTAGGTTATTCATAGCTGCTGTTCTCTAAATGATAACTATGTTCTTTGTCTGGTTCTACTTCTCCTATAGTGGTGGACTGAGAAAGGGCTGGAATTTGTCGAAGAGATGAAAGAAAAAGAAAGCTGCTGTGAAAATAATGACATTGCTGCTCAAACAACCAAGTAGTACAATATACTGCAATGCTTCAGATAACCATTACCAGTGCTGTAAATATCTCATCAGTTACATTCATCTCCTGCATTGTAGGTTCAAATCAGCAGTGAAAAGCGTGAATTTGACACCTAATTCTCTGTTGCTTGGCCTTCATGAGACTCACTTGCAGTTTATTGTATGGAAGGAGATGCTGGGCTTTATTAAACAAGGTGAGGACATCAGATATACAAATGTGGACAATATGTAAAAGTGTATAAATGTTTATTAGGCAAAAAAACATTTAGCAAATTCACAGTATTGGTATTTGTACACTACTGGTTTCTTATGCTCACCAAGACTGCATTATTTGATTGTAAATACAGTAAAAACATATTTTTGACATATTGTGGAATTTTCTATTTGAATATGTTTTAAAATGTAATTTATTCCTGTGATGTCATGACTCCATTCTTCAGTGTCACATGATCCTTCAGAACTCATTCTAATATGCTGATTTGGTGCTCAGTTATTAATAATGTTTTTATTATCATCAGTTTTAGTTGCTTAATATTTTTGTGTAAAATGTGATACATGTTTTCAGAATTATTGTAGGTGCTCAGTTATTAATAATGTTTTTTTTTATCAATGTTAAAAACAGTTTTGCTGTTTAATATTTTTTGTGGGATCTGAGATACATGTTTTCTGGATTCTTTAATGTATAGAAAGTTGAACATCATTTATTTGAAATAGAAATCTTTGTAACATTAGAAATGTCTTCATTGTCACTTTTGATAAATGTAATGCATCTTTGCTGAATAAAAGTATTAATTTCCTTTTTTTATGTATTACAGTTCCCACATTATGTTATGCAGCACAACTAGTTTCAACACTGATTTAAAAAAAAATGTTTCTTGAGCACCAAATCAGGGTATAAGAATGATTTCTGAAGGATCGTGTGACACTGAAGACTGGAGTAATGACTGCTGAAAATTCAGCTTTACCATCACAGGAATACATTTCTAGAAATTAGGAATATACTATATTAAAGGTGACATATCATTAAAATCTGAATTTTCCAGGTTTTAAGTGCTATAATCGGGTCCCCAGTGCATCTACCAACCAAGGAAACATGAAAAAGATTAACCCAGTAACTTTGTTTTGGGAAGCCTTTTTCTGCAAACGTCTGAAAAAACAAGCGTGTTTGATTTCGCTCCCTTGGTGACGTGGCAAAGGGATCTCATTATAATATTACCGCCCCTTAATCTGTAAGTTTACACCCACGGCGCCGTTATTGTGTTTTTGCAAGCGACAACGGTGTACCAGCTCTAATGCCACGGCGAAAGTTTGAGCAAAACATGCTAACTGTTCTGTCTTTGGCTGCACAGACGAGCACAGAACACTATTTACAGTACCAAGCCTCAGAGGAGACAACAGAGCAGAGGATTTATTGATTTCTTTACTGTATATTGCTGCTGTCACACAGATCTAAAATAAACATGCGATTTATTTCAAAAAGGGGGGAGGGAGCTGCAGCTCATCTGCATTTAAAGAGACAGGCCCGAAAAAACAGCTTGTTTCTGCTTCCACTCAAAATAGGCATTTTCAAAATGATATAATAAATGATCTGTGGAGTATTTTGAGCTGAAACTTCACAGACACATTCTGGGGACACCAGAGACTTATATTACATATTGTAAAAAGGGGCCTAATATGTCAGCTTTAAGTCTTACGGATCTTCGCTAATTTTATCGTTTGTCAACCAGCTGCTGAAAAAAGTACATTCAAACTGAATTGGGGAATTACGGTAAATGCATTTAGAATTTATTTTAATTTAGGTTCTATTTAGAAAATAGAGGAGAACTATCAAGCACTTTCTCAGTAACTTAGTTTACACATTAATTTTCTTTAAAGATGGTTTCAACATTTAGTTCAAAGCCCTTTTTTTTTTTTTTTTAATTCTTT